TTCCTGTGTTCTGGAAACACAGCAGTTTATTTACAGTTCTTCAGTTATTCCCTGTCCCTGCAGAGGCTGTGCTGCATGAATCCCGACTCTCACCAAGGTTTAGGAAGACCTTGGCTGGCAGGAAGATAACAGTTTGTTGCTCCAGCTCCTCTGGCCTGTGCATCCTGAAAGTGGTGCCTCAGGGCTGGACAATGGCAGCGCAGGCATGGCCAGGAGAACAGGAGATGCCGGTGTGAGTGAAGCCAACTCCCCCTCCAGTTGCAGGTGCTTGGATCTCCCACCTCAGACCCAAAGGCAGGGACAACCTGAAACTGCCTCAGTTCCTTGAAACCCTTTGGCACATGAAGTCCACGCATGCCTGTTCCTCCCTCTCCAGCACAAACATCTGAGGAAACAGTCCAGCATAGCTTAGTACGGCCGAAACTTGCGCTGGGCTCGCATCAGTGCGATTCTCTGCTTGTCCTCCTCAAACTTCTTCCTCAGCTGGGCGATGTCTGAAACCGAAAGGAGGAGGGAGAGAGCAGGTCACACAGGGGGAGCGGCAGACTTCCATCTCCCTAGGGAGCTTCATCTCCGCTGCTCTCAACAGCCCTATACACACTGGGAGGTGGTTCAGTCCTGACACGCAGAGATACACTTCCCAGAGTGGATCCTTTTGGGCCAGGGCTCGGTGCAGGGCTGTGGCTCTGGCCACTTGTCTCCTGCAGTGCTGCAGCTCCCTCTTGAGGAGGGGAACAGGTGAGTCCTCCCTTTCAATTGCTGCATCTGTGCTGACTGAAGAAACCCCTATTAGAAAGCCGCATTCTTCCAACTCTGCCACAAAACTTTCGAACAACCCCTGCTAGGCCAGGGAGCGGCATGGGGCCCACAAGAACTGGAGAGGCTGTTCACACAACAGCACAGCAACTGGTCGCCTACAGCGACCATTGAAGGAAAACTGGTGCTCTTAGGGCCACATATGAAGGACAAGAGCCATGGGAAGGGGGAGGAGACTGAGGCACTCACGCTCTCTCTTGGTCTCACGATGCTGCCAGGCATAGAAGTTGAGCAGCTCTTTGCGGGCCCTTTTCCGCCTCTCCCTCTCCAGCAGACGCAGGTTGGCAGCCTCTGTCCGGGGCAGGCCAGGCTTCCGGCCCTTCCGCGTTACCTTCACCCAGCCCTCCTCATCCGGAACGCCCTCCTCCTCAGCTGCTTTAGCTTCTTCCTATAAATACAGGACAGAGAGGCTCAGTGCAAATCTGCTGTCAGCCAGACAGATGCTTAGCTCCCTCACGGCTCCCCTTACACGCATGCACAGCTGCAGCTCCTGCTTCTGCACAAGATTTGAAGGAGAGCACAAGACAGAGGACCGGGCACCGAGCATAAGACTAGGCATTCAAGTCTCAGTCGCAACACTGCATGCCAGACAGGACCCAATGTATTTGTGGGTACCTGCTGTAAGCCCTGGGTGGAAGGGTCAGCTGTCACAAAGCAAACTAGGACCTGGTCTCCAGACACCATCCACCAGCAACTAGGAATAAACAACCCTGCCAGCCAGTGTGCCCCCCCCTCGTGCAATTTCCAGTAGGGCCTGGGCAGTGAGACCCTCCGTCTTCCTTTCACCCCCTAGACTGCTTTGCTGGGTCCCTTCCCCAGCCTGGCCTTACCTCTGCTATCTGTTTGTCATAGTCTTGCATGAAGGCATCCACCTCAGCTTTCAGTTCTTCCCGATCCACCACTGAAGCTGCGTAGCTGGCAATCCACTCTGAAACAGAGAAGGCAGAAGTCAGCAGTAGCTTCTGTTAGAAGCAAGCCCTAGTGTGATGTCTTTGAGCAGCTCTAGAGAAAACGGCTTATTGGGGCCGTTCCCATTTTCCATCCATCCTCAGCCTCCCCACCACATTGGTTCACAAACAACTGACCTGTGGACCAGGCCATGGCCAGTAAAGGGTTAAACAATGAGAAGTGCAACGGTGCTTGCAACCGTCCCCAAGCAAGACTGGGGTATCCTCAAGTGCAAAATTCAGGGCTGCGTTCCTGCAGAGGGGTCACGTCCAAAGTCCTGTCGTCTTGATAAACACCTTGTGCCTGTTAATGAGCCTGGCTCCCATTCCAGGGGCAAGCCACAGCCAGTTTTTCTATACAATACTGAAGAGATAGGGGGAGAAACTGCCCTTCCATCATATCAAGTAAGCACTTCCTCCCACAGGGGAACAGGACCAGATTCCACAGCTTTCAGTAGAATAAGATGGCTATCTTAAAGAGTAAAAAAAGGACAACAAAACACTGGACGCCTCCCAGCTCAGTCTCAGTACAAAGTGGTGGGAATTAATTCGGGATACGTAGTACAGGATTCACTAAGGAACAGGTGTAGCTTTGCCCTGCTCCGGTTAACAGGGAGATAGCTAGGACTGACTTACTGCTGATGCCCGTTTTCACAGGATGACTCTCTGTTGATATCAGCAGAGGACCTCCCTGCGACAGGGCCTTGGCTGCCTGGACACCAGCTGGGCTCCTGAACACCACGTATGCTACTCGGAAACCCTGAAAGAAAGGTGCCCTCAGGCCAGTCAGGTACACCTACGGAGTTGGTAACACAGTAAGGAACTACAGTACACTAAATCAATACATAAAATTAAATCAAACCACAGATTGCAGTAGAATAGCAAAAAAGATAACACACTGGCAAATCCCCCAAAATGATTTTCCCACATCTTGTGCTCCGAACAGCACCATTCCAACACTCGAGATCTCTTCCCATTCGCACCACTAAAGCATCAGTCTCTTTCCCCTTACCTTTGTGGTTTTGAGGTTGAAGAATTTGGACTTGAGTGTTTCTGTTTTCTCTCCTATTTCTGGCTTGTCACAGATATCCACAGACTGAACAGGTCCACAACTGAAGAACAGCCTAGACAAAGATTCCTTGATACAGGCGTTAAGGGAGAAAAAAATAACACAGAAAAACAAGAGTGACTTCTTTCCATGCCTTCACACCCGCAGAAAGCATTAGACGACTCTCTGACAAAACCACAGACCCCTCTGCCCACTTCTCCCAGCTGGCAGTGCACTGCCCACCAGCTAGGCAGTCACATCTCTGTGGCCCATTCGGCTCGTTCAGCCCGTGCCACCACGCTCGTCCCGGAGGAGGACCTGCCCACGGCGTGGCACGCGACCGCTGGGCTTTGGCCCGCTAGCTCACCCAGGGGAAACTTTCGGCGAGCACTGGCAGCAAAAGCGCTGGGAGCACTCCAACTGCCCTGGCTGGAAACCTGAGGGGACGCAGCCCCGGGGGGCACAAACCCCGAGGGGGAGAGAGGCCCAAGGGAGAGGGGGGGGACAGAGATCTCCAGGGGGAGAGCCTCG